AAGAATATCTTAGCATTTCACCCCTTTTTAAATTACACCAAAGTGGTTGGGCCACTTACCTTTCATATCCTACCTCTCTCCCCCCTCCCACCCTTTTCCAATATTTCTATCCTTACCCATCCTTCTTCCTTACCCATCTTACCAAAGCTCTGGTCATAAGAAGAAGACTCTGACCCTTCCTCTGTAAAGAACCACCAGGGTGAAAACAAGTGCGAGCATGATAAGGAATCAAGACCCAATGAAAACAAGTGAAAATCTGCAGGTGAAATCCATATAACAATCGTGTAGAAATGTTAAGCATCACATACCTGTGCAGCAAAGTAAAACAACAACAACAAAAAACAACACAGCCCAGAAAAGGGAAGGCATTATGTTATTAATATAAGATATCAATAAGTGTGCACTAAAGAAATTACTAAGACAAGGGTTTACTTATAACAACATTTAGAGCCATCAAGGACTTACCTAATGGATTCACTGATCTTGTGATGGACTGAATGGAACCACTGAGTTTCTGTACATCTTTGTGGATTAATTCTCGCTCTTTCTTACGATTTGCGTCACTTAGAAGAGCTTGCTCCTATAAGACATGAACACAGATGTAGCATCAACCAACTTATTTTAGATGAAGATTCTTCGTTACCGGTCAATGCAATTATAAAATATAAAGCAATCAGAAAGACAATATGATGTACAACATTTTGGGAAAAACTTAATCTACTTTTAGGAACTTCATAATTATATTTATCACTTTTTTGAGTCTATATATGGTGTTAACAGGAAGTTAAGAACAGATACAGGTTACAACAAGCTTCTAGTATTTTTACCACGAGTTGTATGCCATCCTCATAGCGTTTCTCCATATTACACATATGTCTTCTTCAGCATTTGTGATCATTTTGGATTCCCTCAGCACTTTACAGGTCATTAAACAATTTGATTCCCCTCATCCATTGGTCCTTCATATTCAACTTTGGTTGTGCTGTGTAGCTAGCAAAAACAGACATAATTTTCTGCTGGGTCCCTGGACATGTTAATGTGTGGGACAATGAACAGGCAGACACTGCTGCACGGTCAGCGGTGTGTGATCTTCTGGTTTCCTATAGAGGTATTCCGTTTGGGATTATTTTACCGTCATCTCTATCCATCTTCCCCGGGCACTGGGAACAATGGTGGCTGGACATGCACCATAACAAATTTCACTCTATTAAACCAGTTTTGGGTTTGTAGCCATCTTCTTACCACCACTGTCATACTCAGAAGACTGTGCTCTCCCATTTCCACATTGGCCATACTTGCCTTACTCGTGGGTATCTCATGGAATGATACCCTATCCCTCTCAGTGAGGTTCGTCGGGTCCCTATTTCATTTCTTCACTTTCAGTTTACCAGCGAGCTTGCAGAATTTACCTCCAACCGCCGCCCTACCGCTCTTACCTTATCTTCCCTTCTTGCAGACAGCCTTGCCTTTGACTTACAATCACTTTTTGACTTTTTGTCAGCAACTGCTTTACTATACAAACTTTGACATATAGCCCCTAATGTCCCTTCTAGCTCTTTTCTCCCCCCACCTCTGATCCCCTTTCCACCTAGCTGTTTATAGACCTGGCACTATTTTCTGCCCCGCAGCGCTACATGACCCTTGGTCAGTTTAGCGCTTTATTTGATTAATAATAAAACAACAAGCTTCATAAAATAAAAAAAAGAAGCTTTCTTATAAACTCCTCTAGTTGTTTTTTTTGAAAATGCAATTGGAAAAGTGTATCCAAAATGAGAGCACACACATAAAGGCCTTTTCATGTTTTTATTCTTTTTTGGATGTTTCCCAAATTTTGCCATTACAAAACTTTAAAAAAATTTTTTGGGAAAAACTGACTATTAAAAACTGAAAGCATATTGCTTTTTTTTTTTTCTATTTACTCTGTACAGTACCTTGATATACAATATGTAAAAAAAGAAAAACTTCATAAGGGCCAAATGGGGAAAGATATGTCCAAAATGTCAACTTCCAGTAACTCAAAAAAATTTTAAACCCTTTCGGGTCCGAGGCCAAACTCAAAGTGTGACCCAGGGTCCAAAAATTTTTGAAAAATCTTAGAAAATTTAAAGATAATAATTTTCTGTGGTAATGAAACAAAAAAAAATTCCAATCAGTATTTACCAAAGATATAGGGGTGTAAGTGACCCTCAAGGGGGTGGCGGCAACACCCACGACTTGCATAAAGTCACTTTTTTTTTTATTTGACTTTTTTTTTACTTTTTTTTTTTTTTTTCTTTTCTAAATAGGGGGACCCTCACCTAACGAATGCATCGCATAACGTTAAATCCCCAAACAAGCATTAGACCTCAAAATTTTTGGGCCCGCGTAACGATAAAAAACTGCCCAACGTGATTCACGGGATGCGTCCCAGGTGGCCTGGGCCCCCCCTCAGCTGCCCCTGGGTGCCATGTTCAAAAGCCAGCCAGTGGGTACATCACACAACTTCATAATTTAAATTTATCCCATTTTTTTAGTGTTTGAAACTGCAAAATAAGTCACCATGGGCCCCAAGAAAGTTTTTATTGCCAATCGGGGGTAAAAAGGGTGAAAAAGTATGGAAAAAAGAGAGAGAAAATTGCAAAGTACAAAAGGGGTGGCGTGTCTGGAGCTGGCCAGGTTGTATCCCAAACTCCAATCAACCATCGCTACTATCTTGGCCAAAAAAATGGAAATCAAAAAAGCTTTTCTTGCAAAAGGTAAAGCTTGTTTTTCAAAAAAAGGATCGCAAGTACTTGAAGAGTTGGAGACTGTTATTGGGTGGAAAAAAAAAACAGATAGCAGGAGAAGCTTTTCAAGTGATATATGTAAAAAGGCTGGGAAAATTGCATGATGATTTATTAAAAAAAAATCCCCCTCCCCACTAGGGTGAGCGAGGAATTTAAGGCCAGCAAGTTGGGTTTGAGAGATTTAAGAATCATAGGGCTACATTTGTGAAAAGGCAGGGTAGGCTGCCAGTTCGAACCAAAAAAGCGCTGAAAATAATGCAGGAATTAAAGGATTTCATAGAGGCTTAAGAACTAAAACCTGAAAAATTTTTAATTGTGAAAAACACCTGTTTTGGAAGAAAATGCCAAACGGGGACCCCTTTCCCCAGGGGGAAAAAGGCACTCCCAGGTAAGTATAAAGACGGCTTACTCTTTTTTTGGGGGAAATGCTTGGGTTGCAAAGTGAAGCCTTTATTGGGTGTATCCCCTTTTAAAAATCCCGTGTGTTCAGAAAAACCTGCCCTCAAGGAATTTTTTTGTGAGTGGGGGGCAAACAGAAGGCAGGGGTCACTAGGGATTTTTCTATGACGGGTTTTCACCTTGTTTTCCCCCCAGTGAAAAATTACCTCCTGGAAAAAAAATTGTCCCTTTAATGCCTCCTGGTACTAGACAACCCCTCCTGGTACCCTTAGATTTTGGCAGAATGAATTTCGGGGTACATGAGCTTCATTAAGGGTCAAGTTTTTGCCTCCTAAACAACTCCTTCCGAAAGGGCCCGGGGACCACAGGTCATTTCAAATTAAAAAAAAACTCTACACAAAACTATGTTTCAAAAGTGTTTGAAGTGACCTCAGACACTTACTGCCCCTAAGAGAGTTTTTGGGAAAGTCACTTTATATTTATTTTTTTTTTTTTTTATTTATTTAATGTCTTGCAACAGTACTAGGGGGTTTTGCAATGCAGAAGAGCCTCTTTTTATCCTGGGGATTAGGCCAATTTAACATTTTGGCTTACTTCTACTTAATACTAAGGGTAGTATATCATAGTTGTACAGTAGGAAAGTAATTTTTTCATAGTTATCAGAAAAATTTAATTAAAAATAATAAAAAATTTGTATAATACAAAGATATTTTTTATATTCAAAATCTTTTGTGAAAACAAGATTCAATTAAATTCCTGTCAACAAGGGATAAAAGTTCAATTGATTGTTTCAGTTTGATGGGGGTACATGGTAGCAAATGTGTACAAAGTATTTAGCATTTGTCTAGGGTGAAAAAAAAAAAGTGGCTTTTGAGAAGAGTTTTTAAATTGACTTTCAGTTTGGGGGTTTTTTAATATCTTCGGGTAATAAAATTCCTATTTTGGGGCCCCTTTTATGTGCATAGAGTTTTTACACAGGTGATAGGGACACAGGTATACAAAAGAATTGTCTTGTTTGTGGTCTGTGTCCTGTCTGGGGTTGTGAGGAAAAGTTTGAGTGGGGGGTTTTATTTGCGTTATTGTTCTGTGTATTGGAGCACATGAATAAGTATGGAGTTCTAATGGAAACAGATTAAACTTGAAAAATTGGGGGAATGCTGGCGGGAGGGGGGAATTTGTTATTTTTTATGTGCCTTTTCGGGTTTTTGGGGGTTTTAGGTGTTTGGGAAATTTTGTTAAATCCCTGCACCAATTCCTAGTAAAAAAGGGGTATTGAGTAAATGGTACAGTCCCAGGAGAGCGATTTAAAACGTTCCCTTTATCTTGGTAGCCTCAGCTTGGGGAAATTTTCTTTTTTGTTTTGTTTAGGGTTTTCCGGAACTTAAGGCTACTGTAAAGGGGGAACCTAAGAATTTTCCCCTGTGAGTCTTGTACTGATTTTCCATTCATGTAAATGTTAATTGGATCTTTTGCGCTTTGGGGTTTCCAAACTGAATAAAAATATGTAGTGTCATTAAAAATAAAAGGGGTTTGAGAGCTGTGATCATTCAGAGATCATTGAGTAGGAAAAAAGGGGAGGGCCCAAGGACGCTTCCTTGGGGGCCCCCTACTGTGAGGGTTAGGTGGAGATTTTTGCATCATTTGCAAAAAAAATATTGAGTTCTGTTCCCCTGGGTATGACTTTGGGTAGTTGGGGGAGTGGCCTCTGATCCCATAGCAGGGTCGACTGTATCAAAAGCTTTACGTAAATAAATAAAAATCCCAGCGTTTTTCTTTCCCAAAGTGCGGTATTTTTTAGTTTAGCATGTGTATGTAGCGTCATTTGTGCTTTTGTTATTCCTGAATCCAAACTAAAAGGGGTTTAATTGTTTTTGTAAAAAAGGTGGGAAAATCCTCATAATTCTTTTTTTCAAAAGTTTTTGAGAGCGTGGAAAGTCAATATTGGTCTATGGGTTTCAAATCAGTTTGGTCACCCCCTTTTTGGATAAGGACCCCGCTATTTTGAGGATTGTGGGAAGGAGATGATTCAAAAGGATTTTTTAAAAACGTTGCAAAAATTTGGGGACAATACTTTAGAAGCTTTTTTGTACATAAAAGCAGGCAAGTTGTTTATTCCCTGCCCTTTTTTTTTAAGGGGGTTTTTGATGAGCATAACTTTTGGGGGGTTGGTTGGAGTAGGAATAGCGTATTTGGTAGGTTCCATGAGGTAGTCGATGGCGGTGTTGTGCTTGGATTTTGTTTGCTAGATTTTTTCCTATGGGGGAGAAGAAAACATTAAGTCCGTTTGCTGTTTTGGGGTTTGGGGTGAGTAGGGGGTTTATTGATTTTTTTTATTGGGTTGCTTTTTTTTTGGATAACTTTTTAGTTCCAAAATTTCCGATAGATTCTCCGGTTTTTTTCCAATCCCTTTGATGTT